GTGGACATATTCAGAATGTAAAACTGGGTGTTGTGGTGTGGCCAATGTGTAAATTTCTGGAGATGGAGAGAAAATGTGTATGTGTATGTAAATATAAAGCTATTTTCTACGCTATTTTTCTCTAAAAATATGGCACCTGCTTTTTTATTTGTCAAAAAAACCAAATTATAGTTACACTTTCCATTAGCACTTTTCTTTAATTGGTTCATTTTCCTCCAGAGTTACCATTGGCTCCCATCTGAATTCACATGTAAATCTCTGTAAAGACACTATATACATAATTTTGTTTTGTTTTTCAGTCACTTGGCTTCTAACTCTTACTATAAAATGCCTGTGTAGGTGGGTGTTTGGGCTGTACTCTGTACAAGTATAGAAATAAAGGCTTGAGAAGAAGAATTTAGCAGATAAGTTCTCTGAGATAGCCCAATCTAAGAAAATATAAAGAGTAGTGAGTACCCTTTTCCCCAACATATATTATGACATGCTCCCAAAACATATTTTTTATACATCAGAAGTGCTCTTTTTAGGCAACAGCATAGCACAAATTCTGAAACTGCCTTAGAACAGTCTTCATGTTCATATTGGATTTCCTAAACATCATTGCCTGGGAATAAAATTGAGCTTGTTCATGGAAAATCTAGTATGCAGACTATAAAAATGGAAGGCTTGGCCGCAAAGAAAGTGCTAGACACACCCTAATAGAAACCAGTATTTTGTAATTCAGTTCTCCAGGAAAAAAAAGAGAGAAACACTTTGGTGGTGTCCAAATACTAGTTTAAACAGCTGAAAAACCACAGGAGCAGCCACTAGTTTCTAGATTGTCTTCTTGAAAGTAAAATATGCTTTCTGAGAAAATTTTCTATCCTGGAAAGGAAGCATTTTGGTGATACACAGCTTTATGGAAACTCGCAGTTGATGTTTTTATGGTAGAGGCATCCAGTTTCATGAGCAGGAGGAAATTCTGTAAAGGGTTGTTCTGGTGAGCACATACATCCAGCATTCCTAATTTGGGGCCTGAGGGTTATGCTAGGAAAATATAACCAGATTTTGGGGGAATAATATGGGAGGGAAATGAAGGGGGCCGTCTGCCTGGCAGGCCTGTGCAGCAGCTCTTCCCTACCACACTTGAGTCTGGTTCCTTGGTTTGCTTGGAATGACATTAAGAAAGTCAGGGAGAGAAGACTGGGGTTCAGGTCACAAGGTAGAGAAAGTAGATTTAAGAAGTTGTGGCATATACTAAACAAGATGAGAAATGGTCTTTGCCAGCCAGAGTCCAGTCCCAGAGGGCTGGTACTGAATGTAAAATAATAGTGATGTTTTGAATTTGTACTTAATTTTATATTATCTAAGCACATACAATGTATTTGAGACCAGGTTAACTATTTATATGGTATTTAAGATGCTTTTGAACTGTGGTGTTGGAGAAGACTCTTGAGAGTCCCTTGGACTGCAAGGAGATCCAACCAGTCCATCCTAAAGGAGATCAGTCCTGGGTGTTCATTGGAAGGACTGATGCTGAAGCTGAAACTCCAATACTTTGGCCACCTGATGTGAAGAGCTGACTCACTGGAAAAGACCCTGATGCTGGGAAAGACTGAGGGCAGGAGGAGAAGAGGATGACAGAAGATGAGATGGTTGGATGGCATCACTGACTCAATGGACATGGGTTTGGGTGGACTCCAGGAGTTGGTGATGGACAGGGAGGCCTGGCATGCTGCGGTTCATGGGGTCGCAAAGAGTCGGACATGACTGAGTAACTGAACTGAACTGAACTGAAAGACTTACACAGGCCTTATAGGTTAGGTACTATAAATAGCCCCATTGTATAGGCCAGGAAACTGAGGCACGGGGAGGTTAAGTAAATTGCTCAGGGATGTTCAGTTTCTCAGTGGATATGAAGCCAGTCTAAACTCCAAACACGGTGCTCTTTACCGTGGTAAACTCTGTCGTTAGGTCAGTAGATGCCACCAGGCTCCTTTACATCCGCCACCAGCTCCCACAGGGCCCTTGGACTCTAAGGTTCCTTCTTCAGGCTCCTACTGGTAGGTTAGGACATTCTACCTACAGAAGGCCCAGTTTTAAGCTGCAGACATTTCCTGCAGTGGCCCAATAATACATGGGCAAGGAGGGGCTGTCATGGGTTCCAAAATAGGAGCTGGTAAGGGTTGGTTTAGGAGGGAAGAAGAGGAGAGCAGCACAAAGCAGCTGTCAGGGAGGGAAGGTCCTGGAAGGACCCTGCAGCCATGCGTATGTCTAGGGACCTGGCAACGTGGTGGAAGAGGAGACAGAGAGGAGAGAGGGTTGAAAAGCAGCGTCAAGAGAGGTGCCAAACAAATGTTTCCTCTATCAGGGTGCACTTAGGCATTTTTTCCACTCCAGTATTTAGAATCATTCTAGATATAGAATCACCAGGACATGGTGACCAGTTGGACTCAAGGGCAAGAAAAAACTCAAAGTTGAGACTATTGCACAATGACAAGATACTGAGCTGAACAACTTGGGTTTGGGTTTCTTACTTATTGCTTTTCAGTAACACTATTTTCCAACCAAAGGAATGCAAGCTCATGATAGAATATGCAAAAACAGTACAAAGAAGAAAATTAGATTGAGTCCCAAGAATAGATGGGCTTTTCCAAAAGAGTGTAGTCCAAAAGCCATCCTGAAAAATGCAAGAGACCTTTATTTAGAGAGGAAGGAAGTTTTGTAAGAGAACAAGATCCCCGCTTCTGAAATGTTTAGTAAGAACATTGGTTACACTGCCAGACAGCATTAGCACCAGAGCTAGAAGCCAGATACTTTGGCTCTGTTGTTCCCCAAAAACATATATAATTTTAAAAAAGGATCAGAGTTATTCTGGGTGTTGGGATATCAAAAGGACCACTTCCATGTTTCCTTTTGACACCTTCCACCATGTTCCTGCCATCCCCATCCCCTTTTCCTCTCCTGAGCTTTCTCCCTCCCAGCACAGCACCCAGAAGTCAGACACCACAGGCCCACACCAGGCCCTTCCCATGTACCAGGCCCACTTCACCAGTCAGGAGAGCCCTACATGGAGCCCTAAGAATATTTTTACATTTTTTTTTAAATACCCAAGAGGAATTTGGTAGGTTTTATAGATGCATGGCGACAATTGCAAAGGTTAATTTACTTTGAGTTTAATAACTTCCAGCTTTGGGAATAGATTTATTGGTTTCTAGTTCTCCATTTATGCTTTTACTCTTTGTTTAGATTGATTTTTTATAAGGAAGGAGGGAAATTTGTTCACCTGTGTTAGCCTCTCTCTCACCCTTAAGATTTAATTCATTGATTCAATCTCAGTCAAACAAAGCAGGCAGAGCTAAGTTAATACAGTCAACTTTTAGCAAGCCCAGAGCAGTACATGATGGGAATTAAATGTGAATTTTCTTGACTTTTTTAAATTTTGGTTTCTCTGATTGTATGTAATCCTGATTTTCCCTGTTGTTGTTGTTGTTCAGTTGCCCAGTCGTGACCAACTGTTTGAGACCCCATGGACTGCAGCATGCCAGGCCTCCCTGTCCCTCACCATCTCCTAAAGTTTGCCCAAGTTCAAGTCCATTGCATCAGTGATGCCATCCAGCCATCTCATCTTCTGATGCCCTCTTCTCCTTCTGCCCTCAATCTTTCCCAGCATCAGAGACTTTTGCAGTGAGTCCACTGTTCACATCAGATGACCAAAATACTGGAGCTTCAGCTTCAGCATCAGTCCTTCCAATGAGTATTCAGGGTTGATTTCCCTTAAGATTGACTGGTTTGATCTCTTTGCTGTCCAAGAGACTTTGAGGAGTCTTCTCCAGCACCACAGTTCAAAGGCATCAATTCTTTGGCATTCTGCCTTCTTTATAGTCCAGCTCTCATAACTATACATGACCACTGGGAAGACTACAGCCTTGACTATACAGACCTTGCTTTTCAACACACTGGTTAGGTTTGTCATAGCTTTCCTGCCAAGAAGCAATCATCTTCTGATTTCATGTGTGCAGTCACCATCCACAGTGATTTTAGAGCCCAAGAAGAGGAAATGGGGCTGGATGCCATGATCTTATCTTTTCATGTTTAGTTTTAAGCCAGCTCTTTCACTCTCCTCCCTCACCTTCATCAAGAGGCTCTTTAGTTCCTCTTTGCTTTCTGCCATTACACTGGCATCATCTGCATATCTGAGGTTGTTGATGTTTCTCCCACCTATCTTGATTCCAGCTTGTAACTCATCCAACCTGGCATTTCTCATGATGTGCTCAGCATATAGGTTAAACAAACAGGGTGACAGCAGACAGCCCTCTCATACTTCTTTCTTGATCTTGAACCAATCAGTTGTTTCATGCAGGATTCTAACTGTTGCTTCTTGACCTGCATACAGATTCCTCAGGAGACAGGTAAGATTCTGGTATTCCCATCTCTTTAAGAGCTTTCCACAGTTTGTTATGATCCACACAGTCAAAGGCTTTAGCATAGTCAATGAAACAGAGGTAGATGTTTTTCTGGAATTCCCTTGCTTTCTCTATGACCCAGTGAATGTTGGCAGTTTGATCTCTGGTTCCTCTTCCACTTCCTTTTCCCTGTATCCCTCCTCAATTTCCCCTTCTGCCATCCCTCATTAATACCTTTTTCTACCTGTGTCTCCTAAGGCTTTGCTCTTGGCCTTGTTCTTTTCTAACAATACACTTTCATTTGGAAAAGCCTGCCCACTTTTCATTTGGGAAGTGGAAAAGTGAAGTCGCTCAGTCGTGTCCGACTCTTTGTGACCCCATGGACTGCAGCCTCCCAGGCTCCTCCATCCACGGGATTTTCCAGGCAAGAGTACTGGAGTGGGTAGCCATTTCCTTCTCCAGGGGATCTTCCCAGCTCAGGGATTGAACCTAGGTCTCCCACATTGCAGGCGGATGCTTTACCCTCTAAAGCCACCAGGGAAGCCCTTTTTCATTTGGAAAAGCCCACCCATTTTTCCAGCATGAAGCTAAAAGTTCCCAAAGCTGTGGTCTAACCTGGTCCTCTCTCCAGAGCAAGAATCCTGCCCTTCAAAGTCATCTGGGCTTCATCTCCTTACTGTCCAGGAGACACCCCAACTCAGCACAGCTACACCTGGACTGTTACCTTGCCATCACCCTCTCTCAGCTCTTCTGGCGACCTCACCAGCCACCAAGTCATTCAAAATTAAATTGTGAAGTCATAAGAAGAGTGAAATCTCCTATACACGTGATCTCAGAACAAAACCAGGACATGGAGAAAGCAGGCATTATTCCCAGTTTATAGATAAAGATACACATCCACAGAGATTATTTACCCCAGATCACAAAATAAGTGGTAGATTTCCACTATTTAAAGCTGCATCCCCCTCCAAAAAAAATTGGAGGGACAGAAACAAATCTAAATGTTCAACCTAAAAATATATAAGCCCAGACTTTGGGGTCAAATGGGTATATGTTCACACCCCACATATGATCTTGAAGCACTGCCTAGAAACATTTCAGAATCTGTTTCTTCACATCCCTGGGGTGGTTATAAGCTTTTCATGTGTGCTCAGTTGCTCCGTCGTATCCAACTCTTTGCAATTCTATGGACTGTATGGAATTTTCCAGGCAAAAATACTGGAGTGGGTTGCCATTTCCTCCTCCAGGGGAATCTTCCCGATCCAGGAATTGAACTGGAGTCTCCTGCATTTCCTGCATTGCAGGCAGATTCTCTACTACTGAGTCACCTGGGAAGCCCCATTCAACCCAAGCATATAGGTAAATATTCAATGAAATAATTACTGAACGATTAAATACATAATGACATTTCTACACTGTGGAATATTACTCAGCTGTTAAGAAAAATTAATTTGGAAAAAATATAGGTATTTGTCTTATATGAAGAAAGCTTGATAATCTATGATTTCAATTTTGCTATATACATACATGTACACATATATACATGTACACCCATACACCTATACCTACATATCAATACATCCCTTTTTAAAAATTTGTACTGAAATATAGTTGATTTACAATGTCATGTTTAATTTTTGCTGTACAGCAAAATGACTTGGTTATACATATACATATTATTTATTTTTCATCCTTTTTCATTATAGTTTATCACAGGATATTGAATATAGTTCCCTGTGCTATAGAGTAGGACCTTGTTGTCTATCCATCCTATATATAATGATTTGCATCTGCTAATCTCAAAATCCCAATCCATCCCTCTCCCCTCTCCTCCTTGGCAACCACAGGTCTATTCTCTATGTCTGTGAGTCTGTTTTTGTTTCATAGGTCACATACCCCCTTTTTTTTTAATAGAGAAAAGGGGAAGAAACTCTCCCTCCATTCACATTCATGAACTTTTTTTCTTAATCCTGGAACAGAATTAACCACTCTGTATGATGAGTTTGTAGGCAATTTTAATTTCCATCTTTTTTGCTTTCCTTCCATACTCAGTGAGAATGTATAACTTTCAGCAGATTTTTATTTTAAAAACCACCCCTAATGAGATCCAGTGGACTTGTCCACTGCTTATCCTTCTGACTTTCTTGCAGGTTTGTCCCAGGTCCCTCTATTTCCTTCCTTGACACTCATTCTTCCCTCTGTTCCCCATGATCCTCTTCCCCATCAGACCAGGCCTCCATGGGTTCTTTTCATGGGCTCCTGCTGGCTTGCTGGTGGGGGCGATTCTGGGCTTCTCTCCTCAGCCCCCTTCCTACTTACCCCCTGCCCTGGCTTCAGTTCTGCACCTCCACCTTATCACACAATCCCTTCTGAGCCCACCTGGCCTGAGCCTCCATGCCAGGTATAGGAAGTATGAATAGTCAGGGTGGATAAAGAGCTTATAGATTTGAGGCCAAGGGCAGCAGAACCTTGCAAGCCAAATGGACCGGCTGGGTGAGCTTGCTGACTCAGCCATTTTGGCTCTAGACTGTGGCCTTGCTGTTGCTTGCTGACCAGCAGTGTGTACATCCTCTGTCCCTGACCATGTTCCCTCCCGACCCCCATCCCAAACACGAGTGACTTTCAGTTTCCACTTGTTCATCCTCACATTGACTTTGTCTTTATTACTTTTACAATTTGAGGAAAAGAAGAGGCATTTAAAATTCTATTTTAACAGGATTATTAGCTTTTAGGAGGTATTGGTCATCCACCCCCAAGTTTGATCTGTCTTTCCAAAAAAGTTCATTATTGAAATGTTGTTGTTGTTCAGTCACTCAGTCATGTCCAACTCTTTGTGGCCCCGTGGACTGCAGCCCACCAGGCTCCTCTGTCCATGGGATTTCCCAGGCAAGAATACTAGAATGGGTTGCCATTCCCTTCTCTCGGGGATCTTCCCAACCCAGGGATTGAAACCCATATCTCCTGCATTGGCAGGCAGATTCTTTACCACTGAGCTACCTGGGAAGCCCATTGAAAAGTTAATATGATATTAAGTATTATATGTATCTATTTCTGAAGGAATTAGAAATTATTGAGGTCTTGTAATAACCTATAATGGAAAAGAATCTAAAAAAGAATATATATAACTGAATCAATTTGCTGAACACTTTAACATAACACTGTAAATTAACTATACTTTAATAAAAGAAAAAGAAAAATGTATTGGATTTTGTGTGTATCTTGGAGCTGAGAATAAGAGATATCATGGCCCCAGTATTATTTGCTGCCTCCCTATCTCCACCTTATTTTACTCAAGTCCATCAAATAGGGATAGCCCAGTCAGGAAACTTATAGGAAACAAAGGTGTTCACCCTTTAGACTCACATTAATAAGTTTTTAACCTAGTTTTAAATTAGCCCCATTCACCCTTAGTGACTGATATTCCCCATCAGCTAGCATTTTGTCTATCTTTACTTTCTTGATTTATATTATAAAATATGATTATTTTATGAGGTCGCAAAGAGTTGGACACAACTGAGCAACTGAACTGAACTTATAGATACTGATGATTATTTTACTCATTCTCAGATATAAAAACATACAGTAACTAAGCATTTTCACCCTGCCAGAAAAGTTCCCCCTTCCATTACAAAAAATCACTTTCTTAATCTTTAAGTGGAAAGCAGTATCAGTTTCCTTATTGAAAAGCCATATCTTATTAATTGCAAGTGGGTGAATATGACGACTGTGGATTTTAAAGGAGAGATCAGAGAATATGAGAGGAAGAATAATTGAGAGAGGAGTACATTCCTAGAGAAAGCAGGTGTTTATGTCAAGAGTGATGGATGGCATATCCTAAAACCAGCAGGTTCTATAAGCACCCAAGCAGGATCTCTAGAGACTATCACCTGTCTTTCCCTTCACCCTAGGAGGGAAGTCAGTGATGGGCTAGCACTTTCTCATGGGTAAAGAAGTTTGGTTCCAACCATCCTTGGTTTTCTTTATTTCATTTTTATTAAAAAAAAAACTCTCCACATAAAAATAGCTCTGCAGGGCTTCTTGGTGGCTTAGTGGTAAAGAATCTCCCTGCCATGCAGGAGACACAGGTTTGATACCTGACCCAGGAAGATCCCACATGCCTAAAAACAACTAAGCTCGTGCGCCACAAACTATCGAGCCTGTGCTCTGGAGCTTGGGAGCCGTTATCTACTGAAGCCCAAGCAGCCTAGAGCCCATGCTCCGAAGCAAGAGAAGTCACCACAATGAGAAGCCTGCGAACGACAACTGGAGAGTAGCCCCCGTTTGCCGAAAGGAAAGAAAAGCCCACACAGCAATGAAGACTCAGCACAGCCAAAACTAAATAAATTCAAGCCAAAAATAAAATTATTTAAAAAAAAAAAAAAAGCTCTGCAGTATTGTTACAACCCAATGAGAGTGGCTGAGGTCTGAGCCAAGTCTGAAGAGGGGTGAAGGTCAATGGTCATTAGGGTCTGAGACTGTCATATAGGCAGGATAAAGACCATGGACGAGGACTAAGCACAGCTTGGTCATGTGGTTGAGGAGTCAGGTCATGTGGCAGGGAAGCCAGAGGGGCCATAGGTCTGGCTGATTCTCTTTTTTTAACTTTATATTTTTTATTGGAATATAGCTGATTAATAGTGTGATAGTTTCAGGTGAACAATGGAGGGACTCAGCCACACATATACATGTATCCATTCTCCCCCAACTCCCCTCCCATCCAGGCTGCCACATAATATTGAGCAGAGTCCCATGTGCTATACAGCAGGACCTTGTTGGTTATTCATTTTAAATATAGCAGTGTGTACATGTCCATCCCCAACTCCGTAACTATCCCTTCCTCTCATCCTTTTTCCCAGCACCCCTAAGACTCAAAGTCTGTGATCTCTTTCTGTTTTATAAGTAAGTGCATTTGTATTTCCTTTTAGATTCCACATACAAAGGATGTCATATATCTCCTTCTTTGTCTGATTTACTTCACTCAGTGTAACATTCGCTAGGTCCATCCATGTGGCTGCAAATGACATTATTTCATTCTCTTTAATGGCCAAGTAATATTCCATTTTATATTTGTACCACATCATCCTTATCCATTACTCTGCCAATGAACATTTAGATTGCTTCCACATCTTGGCTATTGTAAACAGTGCTGCCATAAACATTGGGATGCATGTATCATTTTGGATCATGTTTTTCTCCAGATATATACTCAGGAGTGGGATTGCAGGGTCATATGGTAGCTCTATTTTTAGTTTTTTAAGAATCCTTCATACTATTCTCCATAGTGGCTGTACCAATTTACATTCTCACCAACAGTGTAGGAGGGTTCCCTTCTCTCTATACCCTTTCCAGCATTTATTGTTTGTGGATTTTTTGATGATAGCCATACTGGCTGGTATGAGGTGACACCTCCTGAGGGCCACTTGGCTTGCAGCAGCCAGACAGACATGGCTGCCCCAGCCTTCCTGAGCCTCACCACCTGGAGAGTAGCCCCCTTTAATATTCAAGAGCCCAGAACTTTGAGAAAAGCTGGCTTCCAGCTGGGGGCTTCTGGCCTCTTACCTCCACCGCAGGAGCAAGTCCTTCTAACTTCCCTTCCAGCCTGTTTCCTTGGCCCCAGGTCTCTGCTTCACCCTTAGTGCTTCGCTTCCCTGCAGCCCCTCCCAGCTAGGTGTTCCTCTCCATTTCCTCTGCATTGATCCTCCCACCCATCCCACAAGCCCTCCCGAGTGCTAGAGGGACTATGGCAGTGGAAACGCCAAGATAAATGGCTGTGACTGGAGACTTGTCATGAAGCAAAGATACTAAAAGCTTCCAGAGGGAAAAACCAGGCTCTTAACAATGCACTAGTCAGAGAAAACCATAATTCAAAAAGAAACATGCACCCCAGTGTTCACAGCAGCACTATTTACAATAGCCAGGACACGGAAACAGCCTAAGTGTCCATCAACAGAGGAATGGGTAAAGATGTGGCACATATAGAGAGTGGACTATTACTCAGCCATTAAAAAGGAACAAAGTTGGGTCATTTGCAGAGACATGGATGGTTCCAAAGTGTCTCATACAGAGTGAAGTAAGTCAGAAAGAGAAAAACCAATATCGTCTATTAATG